AAAAAAAAAAAAAAAAAAAAACCTTTTAAGAGCAGATTTGAAAACACTAAAAGATTAAGCCTCTCTGATCTCAATTGGAAGAGAACTCCAGAGTTTTGGAGAACAGGAAGAAAAGGCCCGATCACCTATAGAGTGTAAACGAGTATGGGGGACCACTAAAAGACCAGAAACGGAGGAGTGGAGATCACTACTTGGAATATAAGCAGTTAACAGTTGTGACAAATAATGTGGTGCCAAACCATGCAGGGCCTTGTAGGTCAGCATGAGAATTTTCAAATCGATCCGAAACCTGACAGGGAGCCAGTGCAACGATTCTAACACTGGAGAGATGTGCTCATTTGTCCTGGTCTTTGTCAGGATTCTAGCGGCTGAATTTTGAACGGACTGCAGCTTACTTAAGGTGGTTTTAGAAACCCCAGCAAGTAAGGCATTACAGTAGTCGATACGAGAAAATACAAAAGTGTTAATCAATTTTCCAGCAGCCGAGAGGGATAACATGGGGCGGAGTCTTGCCATGTTTCTGAGATGAACAAATTCATTTTTAACTGTATTCTGAACATGAGGATCAAAAGTTAGATTAGAGTCAAATATCACCCTCAGAATTTTAAATTTATTTTGAAACTCTAAAGCTGTGCCTTCCACTTTTAGAGCTAACGTACTGGTTTTACTGATGAACCAATAAGCATTACCTCTGTCTTATCACTATTAAGATACATTTTTTTTAATCTTTGAAATGCTGTGTTCAAGAAAGCCAATATCACCAGGTTTAGAATGAATCTAAATCTGGGTGTCGTCCGCGTAAAATTGGAACTTAAGACCAAGGGGTCTAAGGAGCTGACCAAGAGGAAAGATGTACATACTAAAAAGTAGGGGGCTTAAAATGGAACCCTGAGGGACACCAAATTGAACTGAACCGACTTTGGAACGACATCCACCCAGGGAAATAAATAGTCTACGGTCTGAAAGGTAAGATTTGAACCTATTTAGTACAGTGTCAGTAACACCAAAAACAGTTTCTAAACGAGTAAGTAACAGAGCGTGATCGACTGTGTCAAACGCTGCGCTTAGATCTAGGAGAATCAGAATTGAAAGACAACCAGAGTCCGCGGCAATCAACAGATCATTAGTAACCTTAACTAAAGCTGTTTCCCTGCTGTGGAGTTTACGAAAGCCAGATTGGAGTGGTTCAAAAAGATTATTATCAGTGATATGCGTGTGCAATTGAGAAGCCACAATACGCTCAAGGATTTTATCATTTATTATATTAAGGACAACAGAGCCTAGGGAGGCGAAGCATGATTTAAACAACTGAGTAGGGATAGGATCAATAATGGAAGTGGTTTCTTTCATTAGAGAGACCTCCTTACTAAGAGAAACCAGATCCAGAGAGAAAAATTTAGACAATGGGGTGCCAGAGAAGTGTGAGATGTCAAAAGAAGAGACAGATGTGACCGGAGTAATGCATTTTCGAGCATTGTCGATCTTCAAACTGAAATGATCAAGAAATCAATTACAAAGGTGGGCAGAGACTGACACATTGGAGGCACTGTAGTCATTGACCAATTTGTTAATAGTATGAAACAGTTTGCAGGGATTTCTTTGATTATTAACAATTATCTGGGAAAAATGTGAACTGCTTTAATGTCCATTTTAAATCATTATGTTTTAATAATCTTTTGTCATGCTTAAAAGTGCACTAATTTTGATGTGTTGACTAACATACTAAAGTGCATGTAAAGTACCTGATTATAATTATACCTGTATTTTTGTTATTAAAGTTAACACATTTTAAATGTACTAAATTGCAACGTCATCACTACAAATGTGTAATTACAAATATATTTAAATGCATGACATACAAGTTTCAATAGAAATTACATTAAAGTATATACTAGTTTATTATAAATAATTGTAAGTACATTCAGCAGTACTTCAACCATATTTCAAAGACAATAGATGAAATTATGAAATTACATATGAAGAAGTGCTTAGGTCCTACTTAAGTGGGTTAAGAAACACACTAAAATTCAGCTAATTGCATTTAATATCAATCTATTACACATTTTAATTTTCATTCAAGTGTCTAAAACATTACATTCAGTTTGCGCTCAAGTATATTATTTTAAAGTATATTATTTCCATATAGCATTTACTCTTTTAAAAAGTATGCTAAAGTGTACATCTTTTCCACAAGGGCAAAAATACAGGTGCTTCTGGGGGATTTTAGATACAGTTCATCAATGGAAGAAACACATTTTTTTAAGAGAGGCAGAGACTTGACTCCTGTCTTTCTTTCTTTTTATATACTTTCTCAGACTGAATCTTATTACTTTTGAATGAATACTGATGTTAATGGTGAGGTCTGACCTTGCTGGGTTTGTTAAAGAGGCAGGACCCTCCTCCCTTCAACAGGACCTCTTTAAAATCGGTGATACCGCACTTAGAGAAAGTCCGCGGGTGCTGGACCCTGAGAAGAGAGACAAATGTAGGGAGAAAGCTTTCATAACTGACATATGAAGCCAAAATTCATGTTTTCATTGTTTGTCCCTATTTCTGTTTGGTCATGCAAATTATTCCAATAATTTATCCCACTGACAGAGCCATTGAGATGCATAATATTTAAAACACTCATTAAATTAATAAGAAATAACTACATTGTATCCATAAAATTATAATTTGCTTCAACACGCATGCACCCCTAGTGAAAATTAATATACTAAAATGTATTTGAAACACATTTATTTTGTGGCAAGTATACTACAAATACATTTACATGTTTCTGTGCTTAATAAAAATACCCTGCAATTGTACTTTTATTATACTAAACTGGTATACGTAAAGCCTGCTAAATTGGAATTTTGTGCTTAATGCACTTTAATTGAGTGTAAGTAGTGCTGAAGTCCAACTAAAGATATACTGATATTTGATTGTGCTAAACTGGAACAAGTATACTTTAGGTACACTTTAAATATCTCGCATTTAAAGACTGATATTATACAGAGATCATACAGTCCTTATTAATAGTGATATTAAAATATAATATTAAGAAATGTGCATTGTGCACAAGTAGTACTCCAAATAAAGTTGAATTATAATTTTATATCAGTAAGTCTTGAGCGATATGTCAGTAAATATGCTAATGGATTTGAAGTATACTTAGTATGAAATAAATTTATTTTAAATAAATTATGGCACACATACAGGAGTCGTCATGATAGTGTACTTTGTATATGGACTATGGAGACTTGTCATTTTATATCACTGTATATCACAAAATGTTTGTGTTGAATCCCACCCAGTGTCCTCCATGATACAGCCCAGCCAGGAGTTAATGCACCCACAATCCTCTGAAAATAACAGAACACACACAGACACACACACACACACACACACACACACACGCACACACAATCAATCATTTATTAATATTTTATATATGTCAGTATCAAAGTAGTTAAGGAAGCAAGACTTTTTAAACAAGTGTGTACTTCTCTTTGATGCTGAATCCCATTGAATACCAAGATTCTGAGCCAAACTCTGGGCCAGCAGTGGTGCCATAGTCCACGTAGAGCCATACTGTACAGACATCAAGCACACGGGAATAAAGCAGCTATATAAGCATACAAATTCACTTGAGTTTAAAGTTGGCATGAAATGGAAGTTGAAATTGCTCTTGAGTGAAACAGCTTCTCAAATGAGAGAAAAAAATTGAAAGGCTGGATCGTTGAATCATGGGGAATTATGTTTTTTTTGTTGTTGTTTCTTTTAATTTAAAGATTACGAGGGCTAATGAATTTTACAAAATAATGATGTGCAAGTATAAATCATTTGCAATATTCCAAAAAAATAAATTCATTCATTCATTAGTAAAAATAAAAAAAAGAAGAATGGTCAATTTTGATTTCAAGGATATAGATGATGTGATTTGAGTCATTATTTTCATAATGTACATTCAGATGATTAAATACAAGGGTAAAAAGTTTAAAATTGTTATTACAGTCTTACATTCAATAACTGAATTGCAGTGGGGACAAAATGCACTACCATTAAATATTTTAGGGTCAGTAAGATTTTCTTTTTCTTTCTTTCTTTACTTTCTACTTTTATTCAGCAAGGATGTATTAAACTGATCAAAAGTGACAGTAAGACATTTATCATTTTACAAAAGATTTATATTTCAAATAAATGCTGTTCTTTTGAACTTTCTATTCAGCAAAGAATTCTGAAAAAAGTATCACGATTTCCACAAAAAAAAATGAAGCAGCACAACTGTTTGCAGTATTATGTTTTACTGTTATATTATTTTTATTATTATTATGTTTCTTGAGCATCAAATCAGCATATTAGAATGATTTCTGAAGATCATGTGACACTGAAGACCGGAGTAATGATGCTGAAAATTCAGCTTAGCGTCACAGGAATAAATTACATTTTAACTATATATTTAAATATAAAACAATTATTTTAAATTATAATATTTCACAATATTACAGTTCTTACTCTATTTTTGATCAAATTAATTCAGTCTTTGTGAGCATAAAAGACTAAAAAACATTAACAAATCTTTCCTACCTCAAACTTTTGAACCTTAATGTATTTTTTATCAACATTTTATGTGATATTTGCTCACTTACACTGAAAGTATTGCAAACTGAGAGTAATGTGACTGTGTAAAATAAGCTGTAATATTCACTCCTATATAGATATTTTCATTTTGATAATTTTTGGATGAGTTGGATATTTGCTGTCAGTCAATCTACATGTGATTCACTCACCTCAATGATACCAACCCCATGACTGACAGAACACATCCCTCCAAAATACGCTATGCTGCTTCGAGCATAGTGAAACGTCACGTTACTGCAGACACACACAGAGGGTCCATTACGCACACTTCATTTCTGCACATGTGAGTGTGTGTGTAAGCAGTTAATATGAACAGATATGAACTCACGAGAACAGATGCACTGCATCTGCGTGCTGCCTGATGTGCTGCTGTCGGTATTTGGAAAAGTTTTGCAGCATTTCGAATGGAATCACATTAACGGGAATGTGATCCTTGTCCGTCCAGACCTCTAGAGCGACCAGCGCCACACGCATGTTCAGGTGTTCTTTAAAAATCTTCCATTAGAGACAGGTTTATGTCTCATTCTTCCTCACTTTTTGTCTACTCATAAATAAAATTAAAGGTGAACTGTATTATTTATGTACCACTAGTGACAACAAATGGAACTGCATTATTTCAAATAGGTTTCCTGAACTCTCCCCCATCTGCCATTGGTCAGACGAATAAGCAGTCCCCATTGGTTACTCACACAGTTCTAATAAATCAAACAAATTAAAAATCATGGCTGTTGAAAGCTACACACAATTATACAGTATGTTACAGGTTACACACTGACATACTGAATATACTGACATCATTTCAAAATAATTGTAATAATATAAATTATTTAATATTTCATAATGTAAACTTTCATTTTTCCACAACATCTTTCCACATTCAATGGAAGAAATTATTCACTGTAAACTGACTAATAAGTAGGTTTTAATAACATTGAAACTCACAGCATCCACCAGGTTGACCACAGATTTGGCATAGTGGCGTGTGTGCTGCTTGGACTTCATTCTCCTAAACTGTGGGATAATGTTCATATAGTTACAATTACATAAACATTCAATCAAAAGATCAAACAAACACTCCAAATTTTTGCACACTTTTAGTGCGATCATTCAGCATTTCCGACTCTAATACTGCATTCACTGCTAAAGAATCGATCAGGAGAACAAACAAACTGTGTAGGAGAAACAGAGTGCTTCTAGTGGACACGACTGCACTAATGAGACGATGAACATAGACTGACTCAAGATGGATGTTATCAAGAGTCTGGATAAACATTCTTATCAAACAATAGTCCCACACCTGTCCTAAAACACAACTCTACCATTAAACCCTTGTGAAAAAGAAGTGTGCTTCATTGTATTGAATGTGCACTTGTAGTGTACTTCAAATATATTTTTAAAAACTGTACTTGCAGATAATATAATATTAATGAAATAAAAGGCACCACATGCACCTAAAGAGAGTACAATTGTATGACCATGTTTCTTAATACACTTTTAAAAAGTAAGCTACACTTATTTTCATGTGTTGACTAACATACTAAAGCAGATGTAAAGTACTGGATTATAATTTTAACTGCAGCGTGTTTCAGCGTTATTCAATATATTTAAAATGTAGGCTACTAAACTGCAGCTCCATTATTACAAATGTGTAATTACAAATATAGTTAAATACATGACACACAAGTTTCAATAGAAATGGCACTGAAATATATTTTAGTTATTTTATATTTTAGTTTATCATAAATGCTTGAGAGTACATTTAGCAGTACTTGAACCATATTTCAAAAACAAAATTATGAATTACATATTAATGTAATGCCAAGCCAGCAGAGGGAGCCCTCGCCCGAGTACTGACCGTGCTCCACTCCCTCTGCTTCCTCTGCTTTCACTTCCTGTTTGACTCTCATATAAACTGAGACCAGTCCATGTGCTGATCGCGAAGTATTGCCAGTTGATCTGCTTTACCAAGCGTTATTCTTCCTCTGTTCCTGACTGATTTCCTGTGTATGATTCTGCCTGACTTCTTGACTCACGGTATTTGTACTCTGCCCCTTTTGTTCTGACGCCTGATAGGACTGATGTTTGTGTTTGGACTCATTGCCTGCCTCTCCGCTATTGTCTCTGCTTCTGCCCTTGTGTATGACGAACGATCTGCTTGCTTCTCTGACTTTGACCCTCTGCCTGATTATCGACATCTGTTTAAAGCCTTGACCTTTAATAAACTGGTTTGGACTTCGGAAGCTAACAACGCTTTCAACACATTGAAGGAACTATTCACAACAGCCCCGATCCTAAGACATCCTGATCCGAACGAACCATTCATACTAGAGGTGGACGCATCAACGATCTGCTTGCTTCTCTGACTTTGACCCTCTGCCTGATTATCGACATCTGTTTAAAGCCTTGACCTTTAATAAACTTCCGTTCATGGATTCTAACCAAACTCCAGCATCTCTGTTACAATTAAGCACTTTAGAGTTCAGCGAACTGCATTTAATATAAATCTAAACTATAATAATACATTTTAATTTAATAGCAATTAACATGCAATTAAGTGTCCAAAAACATCACACTGCACATTAGTAAATTCTAACAAAGTATATTATTTTCATAAGAATTCTTTTTTAAAGTATGCCAAAGTGTACTTCTTTTTCACAAAGGAAATCAGAAGGCCAAAGATACTTTCATATACAGTGCTATTATATTCAAACAGCATTTAAACACACCATGCTGTGGTCAGTGACGACCATCAGTTCTATGTACTTCATCTCCTCAAACACATTCCTCGGCATCTGGAAGAAACACGACAACACAGCAAGATCATGCCTCAGCACAGCTCACTTCCCATTTCACAGATGCTGCATGAATACTCTTCACAAACAGAAAAAAAAGTGTCCTGAAAACTTTCATACATCCCAAACTCTGCTGTTACTTTCATGTTCTGGATCTAAGTTTTTGGCTGGATCCCAATTTACATACTTCTACAACATATTAATTGAATTTATGAGCTTTAATTTAATTTATGGCCTCAAGACTAACTGCTTCCTGCACAATGAAAGCATGCAGTTTTTCATGGAGATTGGAGCGTGCAAAAACTACTGTTCGAAAGTTTGGGGTCGTAAGAGTTTTTATAGTTTCTGAAAGAAGTCATGACAAATAAAATTGGTTTTTGAAACATACAAAAATAGCTACACTAATAAATGGAAGCAGTTTTTTTTTTCTTCAAAATCATAATGTTTATGTGAATCCAAACCTTTTCAACATTAGTGTTATTTTCAGAAGTACAGTTGGAAAATATTTCATAAAACTGCATCAAATATTTAACAAATGTAAAAATCTAATTAATCCATAATTACATAATGTTTTACGTTCATGCGTTTAAAACTACTAGTACTCTGGTCTCTTTGACCTCACATTTGTCTGCATTTTTCTAACACTGAAACATTGAGTCATGAACTCCTCCTCAGGAATGCCACGGTTTGTGTGCAACATTAACTCAAAAAGCATGAATGGATGCATATTTCCAAAATCCATCATGCTGTTTTTAATTTACTAATGTTTAGAACACATTAATACAATGTAGTATAGATAGTATGCAAACTGGGATGTAACCTTTGTGTAGGCCTACTAAACGTGTCGGTACTACAGCATTGCTGCTGCTGCTATTGCACAAGCCTGAGTCAAGCTGTCTGATATTATGGGATGTGTGCTGGTTTGCATAGTGTCATTGACAGTGTTCTTGTTCTGCTCTGCAGTGGATCTCTTTGTGGCTGTATCCAGCTTCAGCTGCGTCCCACTCAAACTCTTACAGCTCGCTTTTTCCTCCGTCGAAGCCAAGACAAATCCTCCTCCATGCCTGCACACACACATACACACAAATAAGTGTTTGTTTGTCAGCTTTTCCTATGCTTTATGTTGGGCTCTTTAGGGATTACGTTCTTAGAGTCCTTCCCAAAACAGAATTTAAATCTTCTAACAAAAGTGTAACATTGTATTCAGTGAAAAAATTAACACATTCTCTATTCTCCAAACAACATGCAGACAATTTTACTGATAAAAAAGGGCATCCAGTGCTCCTGCAGTATGATGAACTCAACGAAAAGTTATGTGCTATGAAATCTTTTGAATTGGTAAAGGACATTCAAAGTACTTACTGACTTTTTTTTTTACTCTTAAGTTTGTAGTCATGGCAGTAGAGTGTCACATTTATGTTCTGTCTCTGTTTAGATTTCCCTGTGTTTCTGTTCACCTGCCTTGACCTAGTTTTCCGTTGCTCCCTGATTAGTTCATTAGTTTCACCTGTGTTAATTAATCATCTCATTAGTTCCCTTTGTTTGGTTCTTGTTCATAAGTCCTGAGTTCTCCCTGAGTCTTTGTCCGTTCACCGTCATGTTTAGTTGTGTCAATGTGTTGTGCTACCCTGCTCCAAGATTCCTGGTATTTGCTTTGAGGATTATAATTAAAGACTGTGTATTGGATATCTCCTGCGTAGTGTGCTTCTCCTTAGAGCACAGTAACGTGACAGATGAACGGACTGCCAAACAAGATTAATTGGGCTGAGGACCAGCTGTGCTGCCTGCGACAGGGTGGTCGCCCTCTAATAAGGTATGTGGAGGAATTCATCGAACTTTCCCATCAGGTGAGCTGGCCCGATGCCTCACTATGTGCCTGTTTTCATTTGGGACTGGATGAGAACACAATTCGTTGTAGTTCTCCCGTTTGTGACTTCGCTTTGGTTGAGTTAATCAATCTCATCCTGTATTTAAATGGCTCTAACTTTGAAGTAGAAGAAGTTAGAGAAGATAAAAGCCATTCTCATCCAGCCCCTTCTGAGAACCACTGGGCCTCGCCAGCTCACCCCATGCCGAGATCCTCGACATGCCTGCCCATAGGCCCCGGCCACCCATATCCTCCTGTTTCCCCGAGCCCCTCCCAGAACAATTCCGGTCCTCAGCCCAGAACCGGCAGCCGCTCCGCTCTCCAGCCCGCCGGCCGCTCCACTCTCAAGTCCTAGGATAGCGACAGTAGCCTCTTTAACCTCAAACCAAAAAAGGAGGATGGGGAGGAAAAGACTGCTTTCAGCACTTATCCGCTCTCCAGAGTTCGCTCAAGAATGCTCTCCTTAGCTCAACCAGGAGTCTAGCTCTCCTTTGTCTCCTTCGTCTCCCCTGGTCCCGTCCAGCTCTCCTTCGCCTCCGCTGCTCACGTCCAGCCCTCCTTCGTCTCCTGAGTCTCCTTCGCCTCCGCTGGTCCTGTCCAGCCCTCCTTCGTCTCCTGAGCCTCCTGCGTTAACCAGCTCCGCTCCTACAGCGCGCCCTCCAGAATCCCTCTGGGCATGGAAACATCTAGTTTTCCCCAAGAAAATTTTTTTTTTGGGGGGGGGCATATATCCGTTGCCATAGTGGCCGAGCCGGGAAACCTGGGCAAGGCTACGAAGGCACCTCCGTGGCCTCCCGAATGGCCGGCTCCTCCGTGGCCTCCTGAACTCCCTGATCCGCCCTGGGGGCCTTCCTTGTCTCCGCCCTGTTCCTGCCCTGCACCAGCCTCCAGGGCGCCTGCCCCCCTCCCCGCTGGAACGGTTACGGCGCGGGATGCTCCTTCCGGGAGGGGGGCGATATGTCACGTTTATGTTCTGTCTCTGTTTAGATTTCCCTGTGTTTCTGTTCACCTGCCTTGACCTAGTTTTCCGTTGTTCCCTGATTAGTTCATTAGTTTCCACCTGTGTTAATTAATCATCTCATTAGTTCCCTATGTTTGGTTCTTGTTTATAAGTTCTGAGTTCTCCCTGAGTCTTTGTCCGTTCACCGTCATGTTTAGTTGTGTCAATGTGTTGTGCTACACTGCTCCAAGACTCCTGGTATTTGCTTTGTGGATTATAATTAAAGACTGTGTATTTGATACCTCCTGCGTTGTGTGCTTCTCCTTAGAGCACAGTAACGTGACATAGAGACTTTCAATTGCTCTTTTTTCTGTCTACTACAATAGCACCCAGTAGACTCATACAGACATTTGCTGAAATATATACTTGAATTAATTTTATAAAGACAAAGTTCACCCCAAAATGACAGTATTATATAGAACACTGCACTATTTTGAACTGTAGCACTGAATAATGATGTAAACTCTAGTCTGTCCCTCACAAAAAGCTATAGAAATATACAATAGTACACAAATCATATGAGCTATGTTATGTCACAGATTCAGTCACACCTTCAACGCCAGACCTCTCAGCTCCTCCCACTCGATCACAATCACCAGGATTCTGATTCAGCACACCTACTCAAGCTCATCAACACACACATATAAGCAGTCACTCTTCACTTCACCAGCGTCAGGTCTTGTTGTCCACTACTGTGAAGCAACTTATCCGGCTACCTACTTGTTATACCTACCCGTCGTCGATCCCTCTTCTGTCCTCTTCAGTCTTCATCCATCTGGGATTCTGCCTGTGGAAGTCAACATCATCCTTCAAAGATAAACACCACGTTCTCACTTGCTAAGTCTCATCACTAATACGATCATCGCTTGCTCCTCTCCCAAATTCTCTGAATAAACATCAGTGTGTTTGGAAGTTATCTGTGTTGTCTCCTTCTGTTTGCTGACAGAAGACCTGACCAACATGCAATGCAATGCCGAAGCAAGCGATGAACGGAATCCAGATTCTTTTGCTGAATTAGTTCAAGCACTCCTTCAATCACTACTACTGCCAGCACCCACTCCTTAACCGACTGCCTCTGCCAGTACCATGGCCCAACCAGCGACATACTCTGGCGAGGCGGAGGAATGCAGCGGGTCCCTACTCCAGGCAACCACAACTGTCCACAACTAACCAAGCCAAGATCGCATATATCATCTCTTTATTATCCGGACATGCCTTGCAATGGGCGAGATCAATCCGGGAGGCAAATGGACCTGTCACCAGTACTCTGTCGGCGTTTACCAATCATTTCAAGGAGGTCTTCAATAAAATGTATAAAATGTCACAATTACTTCTATTGAAATATGGTTAAAGTGTATTTCTGAATGTACTGAAAATATTTCTATTGAAACTTGAATGCCATGCATTTAAATATATTTGTAATTACACTTGTGTAATGCCAAAGTTGCATTTTAGTACATTTAAAATATATTAACTTTAAAACGTTTAATGTATTATTGAATAACACACTACAGTTCAGATTATAATCAAGTTCTTTACATGTGCTTTAGTACAGCATGTTAGTTAGCATTAAAATGTAACACATTAAAAATAAAGTGTACTTCTTTAAAACACGACTGATGATTATTAAAACAATAATTTCAAATGTATTTTAAACTTTTAGTTTGATATTATTACAAAGTGCACTATTTTAAAAGTGTATTTAAGTGTTTTAAAAACATAGTCATGAATGTGTCTCTCTTTAAATACACTTAAGTGGCCTTTTATTTCATTAATATAATATTATCTGCAAGTACAGATTTTTAAAATTATAATTTTAAGATTTGAAGTACATTACAAGTACACATACAATTAAGTGTACTTCTTTTACATAGGATTCTAGTATTTTCATTTTTGAGTGAACTATCTGTTGCATCCGAGAGTTCAGTGAGAGCTGTGCTGTATGCACCTTCCTCTCCTGCAGATGTAGTTTGCTGCAGGATAGTCATCCTGCGTAACACATGTGGTCTCGCTGTTCCCTCCTAATGAAAAAAAAACACAGAGCATGAGCAGCCAGATCTCACCAAGTTCATCCAAAGTGAATGTCAAATTATATGTTCACATGTATACATATGTATTTTAAAAGGCCTAGTGCTTTTGATTAGTGTTTATAATGAATTGTGCTCTTTGGTTTTTGACTGGGTTTTTTAGAAGAGGGTTTGTTAGTCTAAAATTAAAGTTCAGAGATTTAGTTGAGGGTGTGTAGAGTCAGTTTGTGTAGGGAGAGAGTGTATGGAGATCATTAAAGTGTTTATAGTTTTAGTTGATGTGCAGAGGAAATGGCTACACTAGAGCTTGTAACATTAGTAGAACCATACTGCACACAAAAATTATACAACAATCTTTGTTGTCAACAGCAGATTTGTATATGTTCTGTCATATATCTCATATTCTCACTGCAGGCTTCATGTGCCCAAATTAATGTGCAAGCAAGTATTGGAAAATGTTGCTTTCTTTGTATGCTTATAGGAAATATACACATATTCAACATTCTTATGAGGTTGCCCAAACATATACAATATGTTCAGAGATGCTGCATTTTTTAATCCAAAATACAGAAAAACAGTAATATTCTGAAAGATTATTGCAGTTCAAAACAATTACTCCAGTCCTCAGTGTCACAAGATCCTTCAGAAATCATTCTAATATGTTGATCTGCTGCTCAAGAAACATTTCTTACTATAATCAATGTTGAAAACAGTTGTGCTGCTTAATGAATGTGGAGTGTGTGATATAGTGTCTCTTTTTTCAGGATTTGATGAACAAAGTTTGAACAAGAGCAGTTATTTGATAAAAATGTATTGTAACATTATAAATGTTTTTACTGTCTTTATAAAATCAATGTAATGCCTCTGTTCTAAATAAAATTATCAGTTTAACAACAACAAAAAAATTACAGTGATCCCAAACATATTAACAGTAAGTCAGAAACATGTCTAATTCTGCTATGAATTTACTATTTATAACCACATGTATTACATCTTTAGGTATAATCTATAAGAATTTTGTTAAATATAATAAAAACAAAGTACAATTATAGGATAATGTGTAAAATAGTAGAATAATTATTTCATATGGAGTTATCAGCATACTTAAGTTGCATGAATTGCATGGTGCATAAATGTGTTTAGAGTTAGTCTGTGGAGCTGGAAAAAAAATTAGGATTAATAAGGAATACTTACAATAGAGTGATTCTGTTTAAGTGGCTCAATTGTGTACACATGGATCAAACATGCCACTGAAAACCAGAGAGACAAACAATTTTGTTTATTAATTTAGCTGCTTTTATCCAAAGCAACTTAAAAATGAGAAAAAATACAGACACAGCTGAATAAGTCAGTATATAGTAGAGAAAGCTTTGAGATATTGTTTAAGCGGATGAATTCACTCCAGTACTCACTGTAAACCATTACAGGTGGACAGAGAGGCATGAGAGTTGTCATTCCCTCTGATCTGGCCATGGTAGTAACAGTGCTCTCCACCCTGACAACACACACGCACCCAAACAAACCGGTTCAGTTTTGTCCTGTTCCCTGCATTTTTTGCCACAAAAGAGAAGCAGTGATGTTTTAATTGACTCCATAGTGGGTATTTCGGTGTATATACATGCGTTCAATAAACAGTCTAATGTTTCTATACTATATGTATTACAGTGATTCAGCGTGGAGTGTCTGTCTCTCTCTGCATTGCTACTGCAGAGTAACGTCTGCTGGTCATGTGAGCTGATCAGCAGGTGAATCGAGCCACACTGATTCAGCAGTGAAGTCACAGACTCTTCCTGATTTAACACCTATAAGCATCTCTACCTCTCTCCCTCCGTTCATGGCCTTTTCTCTGTTACTCTCCCTCTCTCTCATACTGTGTCACATTCGTCATCTTCTAGATACATCTGACCTCTACCGTCACACAACCCTGCAGGCAGCTACACTTTAAAAACAGGCAATTACAGTTGTTCAATTACAATACAGTTGTTCCAATTCATTTCATAATTGATTGGTGGCCCTAGAACCAATTAATCCAACTAATGAAAAGCTAGCATAGCACATGCTAAAAGTAACTTATTCAACATGTAAATATGAACTAGTAAGATATTACTTGTCACTGGCATTAGTGCAGCCACTGCTTATATTGTCTGTGTTCATGTATCAACCCACAACTGAACCACAAGCTCTACTCTTCAGCACAATGGTAATCACAAAATCCAACATAACAAAAACTCTTTTAAATTTTAAACATAACAGCACAAAAACCATGAAATAAAGCTTAAAGGTGGGGTAAGTGATTTCTGGTAGCCAATGTTGACATTTGAAATCACCAAAACAAACACACCCCTACCCCAAAAGGGTCTCGCCCCTATTTTGATAGCTCCGCCTCACACATACGTACGCAACCCAGGCAACCATTAGTTCTGTGAAACAAAGCAAATTGGCTACAAGTTTGTTTTGCTATTCGGCCCGATTCAGTTTTCTAAAGCGTTTTTTTGCAAAATTGGTTACCCCACCTTTAATTTCAACATTTATTTCAACATTTATGCAGTTCCAAAATTTCTCGGTCCAAAAAAAAAAAAAAAACACAGTCCAAAATTAAGTAGTTACTATGTAACTAAACTGGTAGCACTTTATTTTACAGTCCTGTTCCTCATGTACATACTATGTACTTATTATAGTAATTACAAAAACTAGGTAATAACTAGTTACTAACCCTGAACCTACCCCTAAACCTAACCCTACCCCATATAGTTACCAGGTATTACCAGAACTTTCTTAGGTAGGTACACTGTAAGTACACTGTAAGTATATGTAAGTACTCGTACTGTAAAATAAAGTGCAACCCAAAATTCAATTAACACTGAAATTTCAGTTTAAATTAATGTAAAGATCAACATTATTATATCAACAGAACTTATCAAAATAATGTTTGCAAAGGTTTAATTAATTTGATAAATTGAACATTTTAAACATTCCCGACTTCTCTGAGCTTTAGACTGACATCTCAGCTGATTGTAGTGTAAATATAAGTTTATACCATTGGCATATTCTCAAAAAACCATTCTCCATTTGAGTCCCAGTGATTTTCTACTGGTATCATTAACAGGAAAGATAAAAAAATGGTATAAATTACAAGTATGAAAGCAGCTGTACCATGGTGGTTCCTCAATTGTAATAATGATCTTGGTGTGAGAGGTACAGCAGTTTTCAAAATTTTCAAATGAAATGGTACTGTAGCTATCTATATGACAATGATTAAAACAGCTACTGTATGACTAACTATTCTCTAAAAAGTACACACAGTGAACTTGAGTGAAATGACAAAAAATTAATTATAAATGCATAGTTCATACCTTCCAAAGGACGGCTTCCCATTCTCATAGTGTATCTCCACATAGTCTGAGGACAGCAGGTCACTGGGACACACAAACACACACAAATATGAACTGGCACAAACGCATGATCATCTGTTGATTATGAATATCACAAGACTCTGGTATTCTGGCTCAAGTTAACACACAGCGACTGCTTTCTGAGCCATATCCTTGGCTGAAGAGTATTTGCTTTGAAAGGAAAGTATCTGAGTCCAATTTTGTTGGACTGGCCGTGTAATTCAGGCCAAGTGTCACTGCACTCAGTTTAAAATATGTGCAACACATGCTTTCTGCAGATTTTCAGCATTTCTGTTAAATACCCTACATTAAAGTGCTATTAATATACTTATTTTAAACTAAAAACTAGAGAATATATTTAGTAGATATAAATGCACAGTTGATCCAGAATGATTATTTAATATTAATTAATTTTGATTAATTAATTCCTGCAGTAATTCACTCAATGACAGCGACAGTACAAGTGTTAGTTAGGTTGTCAGACCTAGCAACAGTAACTAAGGGGAAAGGGTTTAGCCAAGGGTCAGGAGTAATGAATGGCTGACAAACCAAAAATGTATTGGACAATTTGATATAAATTAAAAGTTAACGTTTTGTAATTTTTTTTTTATTATTATTATTTTGCATGATATTTGTATTATTTATTTATTTCTATAATTGTAAATAGAGTTCACAAAAAAAATAAAAATAATAAATAATAAAATGAAATGAAATAATTTAATAGTATATACACATGGTAAGACTTTAGATTAGGGAACACATATTCACTATGAACTAGTTGCTTATTTAACATGCATATTACATATTAGCATTTTACTAGCATATGTGACCCTGGACCACAAAACCAGTCTTAAAGGGGTCATATGATGCTGCTAAAAAGAACATTATTTTGTGTATTTGGTGTAATGAAATGTGTTTATGTGGTTTAAGGTTAAAAAAACACATTATTTTCCACATACTGTACATTATTGTTTCTCCTCTATGCCCCGCCTTTCTGAAACGCGTCGATTTTTACAAAGCTCATCGGTCTGAAAAGTGAGGTGTGCTGTGATTGGCCAGCTATCCAGTGCGTTGTGATTGGCCGAATACCTCAAGAGTGTGACGGAAATGTTACGCCCCTACCATACTGTGATGCTCTGTCCGGCCGGGGCACGAGGCATTAGTTGCATTCAGTGGGGACATAATTACGGATTATAATGACTTATACTGT